TCAGTGGGAGGGGGGTGCTGGTTGAGAGTGACGCAGCTAAGAGCCAGAGAGCCAGGTGGGGAGATCTGTGAGGGCTCTGCAGCAATTTTGTTTTTATTCATTTATATATATGTTTTTTTTGGTGTTTTTTTTTGCAGACGGCTGTGACGAACACATTGTGTGGATACCAAGCCATGAAGTATAGTGTAAGGATTTAACCATAAATTTCCATGGTGTCCCTTTTGTTCATCATCTATCATAGTGCTTCTCTTGTCCATTTTGCATTTTTTCCCCCTCTTTCTCTTGTAATCTGTCCATTTACAGTATCATCTCTCCCATTCTCTTCTTAATCTTCATTTTAAAGCTGAGCTCAAACTTTTTTTCGGCTTATATTTTGGACTTTCCTGGTTCCTCATTTGGCCCCTCATTCACATGTGTGTGTGTGTGTGTGTGTGTTTGTTTATTTTAATAAAACCTTTCTGTCTTCATTACATACCTAATTTTGTGCTTCAATATGCAATGCCGGCAGATCCTGGCTGGTGGGAGGAGCCAGCAGGGTGCCGTAAATAGCTTCCTAAAAACATCACCGCACTCACTACTCCTCTCGAGAGCCCTCAGCCCTGTTACAAACAGTAGGCTAGCACTTAGGAGGAGTTATACAAGTATCAAAATGGGTGGATGTCATTCTGGAGGACTGGGCATTCCTAGGCAGGCTGTGATTTGCATGCAGACCATCTTAAGTACCACCCACATGTCATGCTGAGTCTCGGAGATTGGAAGGACTGAAAATCAATGAATGAAAGAGACGGGCAGGAACTGTGGAACTGGTGAGGAAACGGCGATATGATGGTGGATGTCTTCCAGCCAGGAAATGAGGCGGGCTCTATCTGACTTCCTGCAGCTTCTAATGCACTCAGTGAGAACCTCCATAGTGTGCAGTGAAATCAGAGGAAGCAAACAGATTCTGTGAAGTTTTTTTCAAAGTTTTAGAAGACCCGACCCTTTGTCTCTTCATTGCTGATCTTCTCTTCTTCTTTTGCATCTTTAGAGACAGGAAGCCCAGAAGTTCATCCATGTCAGAGGCTGTACAAACGCTGTCATTCTGTGGTTTCTGGACAATTACACCATCATGGCCGGAGTATTGCTCGGAATTCTTCTTCCACAGGTGAGTCTGTATAGTAACTACTAGGGATGCACCGATAGCGATACTAGTAACAGTGCTGATGCCGATATTTTGGGCGAGTACTCGTACTCGCCCAAATGCTCCAATTCCTTTCCCGATACTGGAGGGAGATTTCCTCTGACCGGCAGTGCCGCAAGGGAACATGGAGTCGGGAAGCTGACTCCATGCTGTTTAGCCGGCTGGATGCCGATTGGCCGGGAAGCCGGGTTCCCAGCCAATCGGTGTCGAGCCGGGCAAACAAATCTGATAATATGGCAGACAAATAATTCCCCTCACATAGATCCTTAGCAGCAGATCCGGGAGAGCTTGGACAGCGGTGTCTGCCCAGCTGGCTGAGGGACTGGTACGTTAATTACTGCTGCTAAAGATCAATGTGAGGGGAATGAGGTACCTGCAGGGTTGGGGGTCATGTCGCCATACTGTCAGATCTGTTTGGTCGGCCTCGATGTTGATTGGCCCGGGAAACCTGCTTCCCAGCCAAACAGAATGGAGTCGGCTTCCTGGGCAATCAAGAAGCCGGCCGGTGGGTATTGACATGCCGCCTGGCTCCCTGATTGCCCAGGAAGCCGGCTCTATGCTACCGGAAGTACCGGTATCGGTACTCGGATTGGCGAGTACCGAAAATATAAATATCGGTACTCGTACTACCGAAAAAACTGTATCGGCGCATCCCCAGTAACTACATTGTAGAATAATAAAAAAAATATATAAGGGTTCTAAAGGTGCGTAGAAACCACAGGAAAATACAGAATATAAAATCGTACTCGTTTATTGTACATGTAGTAAAAAACATACTACAGGGAGGGTATGTACATCTTCTGACACGAAAGTGAAAGCTCCAGATACACGTCTAGAGTAGGTATGCCACCAGTCATCATCACTAAGTACACTTTACACCAGGTTAGCCTCTGACGAGCAGTCCATTCCGAAATATAAATATCAAACTGTGTAGGCAATGCTGGAGGTGTTCTCCGCTTTCCAACGCGTTTCAGCCCACAGGGCTTCCTCAGGGGAAGGACGAGTTGGTTGCAAAGAGATAATAGCCAGAGACGCTGGACGTAGGACCAGAGGGCAGAATTGTGCTTCAGCAAAGTGTGGTGGCAGACCACAGGAGAGGCAAGTCCCTGAAAATATCTCGATGTAAACATGGAGCCGGCTTCCCAGGCAATCAGGAAGCCGGGTGGCATGTCATTACTTGCTGCCCGGCTTCCTGATTACCGGGGAAGCTGGCTCCATGTCAGCGGAAGTACCGGTATGGGTACGCAGTATCGGCAATTACCAAAAGCGAAATATCGGTACCTGTGTCAATGGGCTTTGGGCATGTGTCATTTGGAGAATACAGCTTGCTTTCTGGTGCATTCCGCTTTGAGATCTGTTTTGAGATGCTTCTGAGATCATTCAGCATTCAATGAGGGTTATATTTGACCTGCAGATGACAGCTGGCTAAACCTGCACATGACTTCCTTCTAAGCTGCATCAAACTGCTTCCAGCTGCTTTTACATTCCCATTGACTTGTATGGGGAGAGAAGAAGTTCTCAAGGTAACACAGCGAGTTTGCAGGAAAAGCAGGTGCACATGTGCAGAAGATAAGACCTTGTGTATGGTGCATTAGTATAACTGTGTATTGGGCATATTAATTCTGTCTGCTTGAAGCTATCATGAATGAGGACTATGTTTGCTCCCCAGAAAAGAGCTTTTAAATATTTTATGGAATTATTTTCTTTTCTAATTAAATACATAACTGGATTTAAAGGTGCTTTTTAATATTTTCCTGTCGCTCTGCTATAGTAGTACAAGATCTAGTGAGGTGTATTCTCTTCCCTTCAGGATACCTCTGCGTTGGTCAACCACCAAACATTCTTCTGCTGTCCACTCAGACATAAGAAATCTCTTGCTTTGTAAATTTAAGAATGTGGTGTTTGTGCCCCTATCAACACTCATTGCTTTGTTCTCTTCCCTCTGGCAGTTCCTTGGAGTCCTTCTCTCCCTCCTCTATATCAGCCGTGTAGAAGACATCATCAGTGAATGGAACAGTTCAGCTGATGTCCTCCTAGAAAGGCACGAGATTGAGTTCTCCAGTAAAGGTTGCTGCAGATGTTATCCAGGAATAGAGTCTGATGCCTGAGCCGAACTGTATGCACCCACCCACTAACAACCACTAAACATTAACTCTGAAGCTTGTCACGAGCAAACGTTGTCCACTCCAAGAAGATAAAGTTGGATTAATGAATGGGTTCTTGGCATTTACTGGCATTCTTCAGGGAGTCCCAGGTGACCTTCAGAGAACTGTCTGGTGCCTAGTGACTGCTATAGCGGATCATCACTGTATTGTTTCTCAGACAGTAAACAGCTGTAGCTGAGAGGATAAACACTTTTATTTTTGTATTCTGCAAGTGCACTCCAAAGAGATTTTAACTCATTTTTACAGGGAATATATACTTAAAAAGTCTTGAACGCCTAGGCAACTGCCCAAATAATCCTGTGGTAATGTCACCATCTACTCCACTTAAGTCTTATATACTTTCGATTTTGACATCCCAACTTATTACCCGGAGACTTTTAGAAGAGAACATCTTGAGTAAAAGCAGACCCGTTGCTGACTTCAAGCAAAGTTTAAAGGATGCTGACAAGATAGAGGTTTGACTCTTTATTTTATCGCTCCATATCGAAGCCAAGTACTCAGGACTTGGAATACAAGACTATGCATACCTCCCAGAAAGTAGAAGAAAATCCTAATCTGAGACAAAATGTAATTCTAGTACCAGCCTGGTTAATTTTGGGTTTGCCTTGTAGGGGTCAAAAGTCAAATCCATGCTATGGTAGTTCAGAACTTCTGGTGATGTTTCTACACTATATGGCCAAAGGTTTGTGGACACCTGACCATCACATGTATCTGAGCTTGTGAGACATCTTATTTTAAAATTATGGGCATTAATATGGATTTGCCCCCCCCCCGCCCTCCACCATCACTGTCCTC